TGTTAAATCCTTCCTTCGCCAACAGGACACTAGTTTAAACATTCAAAACTTTTAAATAGCATGTTGACTGAAACGTAATATCATTTTTTTTCTGTCTCCCCAGGAGGCCTCGGCCAAAGTGACTTGCATGGCCTGGGCCCCGAATAACAGCAAACTTGCTGCTTGCACTGTGGACCGAGTGGTGCTGCTTTACGATGAGCAGGGTGAGAGGAGGGATAAGTTCTCTACAAAACCCATCGACTCCAAGGTATCCTTTTATCACCTGTTGCCACCTTCTTGTTTGCTCTGTCAACATGAATATACACACACTGGCTATTTCAACTCACATTACCAAACAGCTCAAATGAATTTTTAACTGCTGAACGGTGTTGTCTTGTCAGTACGGGAAGCAGAGCTACGTGGTCAACGATATGGCGTTCTCACCCGACTCCACCAGGATCGCCATAGGCCAGTCGGACAACATCATTTATGTGTACAGGATCGGAGAGGACTGGTAACATACATCACATCAATATGTCAAATTTTCTGTGCATGTACTTAAACGATTCTCTGCTTTGCAGGGGGGACAAGAAAACCATTTGCAACATTTTTATCCAGACAGTAAGATCCATTGTGTTTCTTTTTTTGTGTTACTCGTTCCTTTTCTTAGACAATATGCGCGCATGTATGTACAGCAGGTGATGGTAGAGAGATCATTAATTATGAATGATGATGTTTTTCAGAGTTCCGTGACACGCCTGCTCTGGCCTGCAGAGCATGCTATCGTTTATGGTTTAATGGATGGAAAGGTAAGAGTGACATTGACACGAATTTTACAACAGGGCACAAATTGTCAGTTTCTATGATAGACGTAGGCCAGGATTAGTAATCCTATTTCTGAATGTTTGTGCGGCTTCACAGGTTCGCCTCGCCAACGTTCAGACAAACAAGTCGTCGCCCATCTACGGCACAGAGTCCTGTGTGGTCTCGTTGGCGTCCAAGTAAATCCTTTTATTCTTATTTATTACCCCCCCGACAATCCTTTTGGGAAAAATCGGTATGAATATGTGTTTTTGATTTTTTGCTGTCTTGCTGCTCAGCGTTTCTGGGAAAGGCATCTTGTGCGGCCACGCGAACGGGAACGTTGTTCGCTACTTCTTTGACGACGAAGGCTCAGGTGAATCTCAGGTGAGCTTAAACGTTTTTGCTTATAGGAGGACAAGTCAAAACATTAAGTACCACTTGGGAAAAACGTCTCATCATGATTTTTCTAAAGGCAAATTTGAATTTCCATTTCTTCCACAGGGGAAGCTTTTGTCGCATATGTGCCCGCCCTACGCCCTCGCCTGGGGCGCCAACAGCGTGATGGTGGGAGGCTGCGACAAGAAAGTGGTGGCCTACAGCCGCGACGGTCAAATCCTTCAGACCTTCGACTACAGCCGCGACCGCAGCGAGAGAGAGTTCACCGTAGCCGCCAGCAGTCCCAGCGGCCAGTCGGTGGTACTGGGCAGCTTCGACAGGTTGTGGGGGGCGGGGCAAACATAGCAGAGTCGCTACTGGACTGGACTTACCAGTGTGATCATTTTTATCAAGTCATTTTTCCCTTTTCGAAATGGGAAGACTTCTATGCAACTTGTGCCATGTCCTGTCCAGGCTTCGGGTGTTCAACTGGGCGCCTCGGAGGGGCGTGTGGGACGAGGCCAAGTCGAAAGAGATCGCCAACCTCTACACCATCACCAGCTTGGCCTGGAAGAGGGACGGATCTCGGCTTTGTGCTGTAAAAACTCAGCCTTGTGAGGTCATTTTATGTGTGGAGAAACGGTGAATAGAACTTGCATGTTGTTTTGGTAGGGGACGCTTTGTGGGGGGGTGGAGCTCTTCGACTGCTGCCTGAGGAGGAGCATCTACAAGAACAAGTTTGAAGTCACCTACGTGGGCCTGAGTCAGGTACAGCGGGTGGCGAATGTGTCGGTTTGCTCACCCTGGATTAGCAGGGCGCACAAAATACAAAACTTTTTAATTCTAATAACCTTCGGTGGACACCCTGAACTGGTTGGCGAATGTGTCGGTTTGCTCACCCTGGATTAGCATGGCGCACAAAATACAAAACTTTTAAATTCTAATAATCTTCGGTGGACACCCTGAACTGGTTGCACACATCGACAAACAACCATTCGCGCTCACAATCACACCGAGGGACAATTACGTTTTCCCCATAACTTCGCGCTCACAAACACCGAGGGACAATTTAGTTTTGCCCTTAATCTCCCGTGCATGTTTTTAGTATGTGGGAGGAAACCGGAGTACCCGGAGAAAACCCATGCAGGCACGGGGGAAAATGTGCAAACGCCACACAGGAAGGCTGTAGCCGGAATCGAACCTATGACCTCTGCACTGCGAGGCGGACGCGCTAACTGCATACTACCGTGCCGCCCCTAAAATATTGAAACAAAAAACAAAAGTATTTCAAAAAAAAATCTTGATGGGGGGGGAAAACAAACTTGCCACATGACTTGATTTTACATTAAATATTTTTTATCCAATAAGTCAGCTGAAAATAACAAGATGACCCCTGCAGGTAATCGTGAGGAACCTGTCGACGAGCTCGCAGGTGGTCCTCAAGTCGTATTACGGCTATGAGATAGAGGAAGTCAAGATCATGGGCAAGGACCGCTACCTGGTGGCCCACACGTCCGACACCCTCCTGCTGGGTGACATGCTGGCCAACAAGCTCAGTGAGGTAACACGCTTGACTTTATACACAAAAAGAATAACTATTTTTTTTTTTTTTTTTTTTTTTTTTTTTTTTTTTTTTTTGGGGCTTTTATAATTCATCTGCCTTCATTTTCAGGTGCCGTGGCCTGGTGGTGGGGGAAACGAGAAGTTCTTTTTTGAAAATGACTCGGTAAATACCCGCTGTTAATTTTTATGGACAAAGACACACACACACACACACACACAGAGAAAGAAAAAAAATCACTTGAGTCACACAGGAGTTGATTTGATTGCTTTTTGTTGCAGGTGTGCATGATTTTCAATGCCGGCGAGCTGAGCCTGGTGGAGTACAGTGACAACCAGGTGCTGGGTTCCGTCAGAACTGAATTTATGAGCCCTCACCTCATCAGGTACTTTCCCACCAATAAAACATCAAAAAAAAAAGAAAAAAAAAGATCTCATCCATAACTTCACAAATGTCATAATTGTCCTGTAGGGATATAGTTTGAAGAATTTAACACTTTTAAAACGTGTTAGACTTAACATCCGCCATAGATGTGAAAAATCGACAGACAAGATAGATTTTGATTGCGTATTATGTTGACAAGTGTAATGTGAGGGCACATTATGTCCAGGGAAGCTGCGTGTAATATTTTTACAATTAAAAGTTGTCTTTCCCCTTTTGTACACTAGATGGCGTTGTAAAACTGTTTCCAAAGAAATAGTGCAGAAACCTCAAGATTCAAGTTTTTTTTGGGGTCAATGTCCATCTCTCTTTCGTGTGAAATAACACCACATCAAAAATATGCCAATTATAATTTCTAAAATTAGAACACAAAATGAGCCGTGACACTTTCTGTGCAAGTATGGAAGCTTCATGTCTGACTCGTCGATGTGTTCAGCGTGCGCATCAACGAGAGGAAGCACAAAGGCGTCCAAGACAACAAAAAGCTTGCCTACCTCGTTGACCTGAAGACCATCGCCGTTGGTACGTGCGAGTGTCTCCATCTACTGGCCCGCGGTCAACTTGAACGAGAGAGAAGATCCATCTGATTAAAAACCAACCCCCCACTGCTTGCGTCTCTTCAGTGGACCTGCTGGCCGGCTGCACTCTGGGAACCATCAGCCACGACTCCAAGGTCGACTGGCTGGAGCTGAACGAGACGGGCTGCAAGCTGCTCTTCCGCGACAAGAAGCTGCGGGTGAGGCTGATGCAGGCTACGCATTTAGGAGACAGTCGACAAGTTTCCCTGTTACGTACAACTTAGACATTTTGCCGTTTCCTCTGCAGCTTCATCTCTATGACATCGACAGCGGCGCCAAAAGCACGCTGCTCAGCTTCTGCTCCTACGTCCAGTGGGTGCCCGGCAGTGACGTGGTGGTGGCCCAGAACCGCGGAAACCTGTGCATCTGGTACAGCATCGACAGCCCCGAGAGCATCACCATGTTCCCCATCAAGGTGACAGGACTCGCAATCTTTGGTTCATCAAAGACTTTTAACTTGGCCATAAGCGTGAACGTGAGGGCGAATTTCTGTTTGTCTGTCGGCTGCAAATTACGTAATCAATTCCAGTCGGTGAGTGGAACTCCTCGTATTGCCGCATGACCGTATTATACTGCCCCCAGTGGCCAACTCATGCACACCAGAATGTGCTCAATGCCGTTCGATCTTGCCACGTTCATTTTTGCAGTTAAGAAATAATACGGTGATTCCTTTCCTCCATCTTCTCTCTCTGACTGGCAGGGTGACGTCAAAGATCTGGAAAGAGCGGATGGCAAGACGGACGTGTTGGTGACCGAAGGCGTCAACACGGTGACGTACACCCTCGATGAGAGCCTCATCGAGTTTGGCACGGCGGTTAACGACGGCGACTATGGAGCGTACGCTCGCTCGCTCGCTGTACGTCTTTTCGAGAACCTTTCACCGAAGCTTCAGCTACGTGCGTTTTGCTCGTGTTTGTCCGCAGTGTCACGGCCTTCCTCGAGACTCTGGAGATGTCACCGGAGACCGAGGCCATGTGGAAAACGCTCCGCAATCTGGCTCTCGAAGCCCGTCAAGTGCACATTGCGGAAAGGTGTTTTGCCGCCTTGGGTGACGTCTCCACTCTTCGCTACCTCCACCAAACAAACCAGATAGCTGAGAAGGTTTCAAGGGAAATGGTGCCTGCCGCGTGTATACGTTCGTTACACGGCCCCAAAAATCCTGCCTTCCCAAAGCTTAGTCGTGTATGTCGTCCTCGTGTGTCCAGGGCGGTGATGGAATGATGTTCTATCAAGTTCAAGTGCGCATGGCAATGCTGGACAAGAACATCGAGTTGGCCGAGATGCACTACGTGGAGCAGGTCTGCTACCACGGCTCCGCTGGAAGACTTGAGAACAGTGAGTCAATCCGAGGCATGACGCCCAGTGTCGTGTGATGTCATAGAACGCCATCGATGAAGCCATCGAGATGTACCAGGAGCTCCACATGTGGGACAAATGCATCGCCGTGGCCGAGGCCAAGGTAGGCTCAGCCCTCGGTCCCGATGGACTCGATACAGCCGCTGCCGACTGGCTTTGACTTGTATTTCGGTGATTAAACTTTTAGGGCCACCCGGAACTGGAGACGCTCCGTGGGAACTACTACCAGTGGCTGACCGACACGGGCCAGCACGAGAAGGCCGGCGAGGTGAAGGAGGGCGAGGGAGACGACCAGGGCGCCATCAACTTGTACCTGAAGGCGGGGCTGCCGGCAAAAGCCGCCCGCCTGGCCATGAGCCGGCCCAATATCACCAACAACGGCGACACTGTCAGCCGCATCACCGCCAGCCTTGTCAAGGCCGAGTACTACGAGCAGGTAGCCGGGTGCTGATCCTTGATGCTGTTCTCTTGTCGCCATGAAAAAAAATTTAATCACACCGGGATGGAATAAATTTATGTCGACACCAAGCAATAGCTGCCGTTATAACCCATAAATACTATTTGAGCTCATCCTAAACCCCGAAGAAAGTCATTTCCAGAAAAGGCGACCTGGTCAGGGCGCAACCCGCCTTTCGCCCAAAGTCAGCTGCGAATTCAAAACAATTCCGAGGTGTCTTGATTTTTGTCGATTTTTTTTTTTCCAATTGTAAAATTTATCATTGTTTTTTATTTTTTTTACTTATTTTGGTGGCCCGGGCGGTCGATTGGTTCTCGCGTCGGCCTCACAGTGCAGAGGTGCAGGGTTCGATTTTAGCTCCGGCCTTCCTGTGTGGAGTTTGCATTTTCTCCCCGTGGGTTTTCTCCGGGTACTACAGTTTCCTCCCACATTCCAAAAACATCCATGGTGGGTTAATGGAACACCCTAAATTGTCCCCAAGGTGTGAATGTGAGCACGAATGTTTGTTTGTCTATGTGTGCCCTACGATTGGCTCGCGACCAGTTCAGGGTGTCCCCCATCGACTGCCAAAAGACATCTGGGATAGGCTCCACCACGCCCCGCGACCCTTGTGAGATGAGCAGATCAGAAAAGAGCTGGCTGGATTTATTTATTTTCCCCTTGGGGGGGGGAAACAATAATTTGTTTTATTTTTTATTTTTTAGGCTGGTGACCTGTACGAGAAGACGCGCAACCCCCAGAGAGCTTTGGAGTGCTATTGCAAAGGAGCCGCTTTCAGTAAAGGTGCAGTCAGTCGGTCGTCACTCACACGGGCGCACGCAAATGGCGGAATGTTTGTCTCAAAATGTTCCTGCGCGGCGCAGCCGTGGAGCTGGCTCGCCACTCCTTTCCCGCCGAGGTGGTGAAACTCGAGGAGGCCTGGGGGGACTACCTGGTCCAACAGAAACAGATGGACGCCGCCATCACACACTTCATCGAGGCTGGGTAAAGTGGTCTGAAGTGGAGAGAGAACTTTTGTGGCCAGATGGAGAGCTGGGAGGATGAGTCGCTCATTTAAAAAAAAAAAAAGAACGTGGACATTAATGCTTGTAGTTTGCAGTTTTCGGGAGAACTTTTGGTTGCCTAATTTAGCATCATGAGGAGGAGCAAACTGGGCACGGTGGTTGAGCGGTTAGCATGTCTGCCTCACAGTTGAGAGGTTTTGAATTTGTATGAGGCCTGAATGACTTTTTTTTCCCTTATCCAATATTGAGATTTAATAACTATATTTTTTTTAAATTTTATTATTATTTTTAACATACACTGCCATTGGCTGGCAACCAGTGCATTGTTTGGCCGAATACGTGCACCAGCTTACCCACTGATTGGCACTGCAAACTACAACTGCTAAAATATATTTATTTGTTAATCTGATCATCGGCCTGGTGGTCGAATGGTTAGCGCGTCGACCTCACAGTGTAGAGGTTCGATTCCAGCTCCGGCCTCCCTGTGTGGAGTTTTCATGCTCTCCCTGTGCCCGCGTGGGTTTTCTCCGGGTACTCCGGTTTCCTCCCACATTCCAAAAACATGCACGGCAGGCTGATTGAACACTCTAAATTGTCCCTAGGTGTGAGTATGAGCGTGGGTGGTTGTTTTTCTGTGTGTCCTGCGATTGGCTGACAACCGGTTCAGGGTGTCCCCCACCTACTTCCCAAAGACAGCTGGAATAGGCTCCAGCACCCCCCGCGACCCTTGCGGGGATAAAGCGGATCGGAAAATGGATGGAATTTGATCATTATCAGTCAGCGCTGAGCACCACTAAACTTTGTACATACAACCTATTCATTTATAGATTCTCGAAAATGAAGGACTATATTCTTCTTCAAATACTTGCATAAATTGTACACACTTTGACATTGTCTTCACCCCCTCACTGCAGCTGCTCCATCAAGGCGGTGGAGGCGGCCATCGCAGCTCGCCAGTGGAAGAAAGCCGTCCACATCCTGGAGCTCAACGAGGACCCGGCGGCCGCCATCTACTGCCTCAAGATCGCTCAGCACTACGCCTCCATGCAGGAGATGGAGGTGAGCACAATAGGAACCACTTGACATCATCCTCTCCCCACCCTCGTTTTAATTTTGTTTGTGTAACAAAGCGCTAATGTTACTGCCATTGCAATAATTCAAACATGTCGACAGCCTCCAGGCTCAACTGCGCGTTTCTTGCAAGTTTGTCACAGCGGTGTGAATAATCGCTGACGGAGAGAGCGGAAACGAGATGAGGCATAAAATGCAAAAGAGAGGAATAAAAGCGTCGCAGGACGCCGGTTGTGATGAGCTCAGCTTCGCCGGAGCCGCCTCTGCATGGCTGAAAATAGTTTGTCTATTTGCGTTTCCGTTTGCTCCACGGGCACATTCTGGCAAAGTCATTAAGATAACAAGCTCGCTGCCGCCTGCAGGAAAAGTGTGCTTCTCTGCAAACTAGAACAATAAAGGCTATAAAGCCGCGCACGCGCGCACCTGTCGGGGAAAGGATGACGTGACACTTTTTAATTGGCACAACCGCAAAAATGCGCGTTTGCTGCATTGATTTCTCCTATCGTTCCATCACGGGTTCATCCAACTTAGCGTTCTGAACACGTTCGCGTGAGAACAAAAGTGGCAGTGGGACACTTTACCCGCGTCATCCCAACTCCTGAAATGTTTACATTTTATTTCATCAGCACGTTTTCCGTTATGTACTGAAACAGAATTTTCCACGTGAAATTTAAACGTGTGCAATCTAGAGCAAATCTGTTTTTACATGATGTCTTCCTCCTGGGAATATCTGATAAATAACAACCCTGGATTCATAATAATTTTCCCCAAAATTTACAAGAGAGATTACATTAAATGTAAATGTTCAATGTGGATCAGATCTGGATGAAAACCGGATTGATGTGATATCAATTTAAGGTTGATGGTTAAGCTCAACAAATGTAGACCGAGGAGCCTTATATGAGATTTGACAGTGATTAGCTCAAAATGCTAAATTAGCATTTGCAGTTAAATTTGCTGTCAAAACAACCTGGAGCAGATCTGGCAAAAAATTCAAAATTAGCTGAGCTAATTTGCAATTTATAAAACAGAAACGTTATATTTTATTTTTAGGGGGGGGTTTCTTTTAATATGTTTATTTTCCATAGGTGGCCGAGCAGCTGTTTATCAAAGCGGGCCACATTAAGGACGCCATTGACATGTACACGGCTGCGGGGTGCTGGGAGCAAGCGCACAAGGTTTTGTTCGTTTATCTTTTTAATGAACGTCAGCGGTGGCAATAAAGATGACGTTTTATTTTTATTTTTTTAATTATTATTTTGTTTTTTGGTGACACACAGTTGGCGCTGAAGTGCATGAGCAAGGAGGAAGTCACCGAGCTTTACGTGAAGCGGGCTCAGGAGATGGAGCGAGACGGCAAATTTAAGGAGGCTGAGAGGTAGTCAGCCATGTTGGTTTGAAGCGGCTGTTTTCAGCTCATTTTTTTTCCCCCCAAGTGACTCTCAAAATGTCCGATTTTTGTCCGGCTGCTCTCATCAAATGTCAAACCCACGCAGCGAGTTAATTTCCGATCGTATTTATTGTCTTCCCTCAGATTGTTTTCCACAGTGAACCAAACGGACCTGGCCATCACTATGTACAAGAAGAAGCAGATGTTCGACGACGTGGTTCGCCTGGTGGCCAAACATCACCCCGACCTGCTGACCGAGACACACCTCCACCTGGCCAAGGTGAGCTCCGCAAATATCTGGGCCTAAAAAAAAACAACTTTTTGTGACAACGCTGTGTGTGACGTTTTTTTTTTTTTTTTTTTTTTTTGGGCTTTAAAACCCCTTTTTTTTTTTTTTTTTTTTTTTTTGGGCTGCAGGAGTTGGAAGCTGAGGCCAAATTCTCAGAAGCGGAACATCACCTGATGGAGGCCAAAGACTGGAAAGCTGCCGTCAACATGTACCGACTTCATGACATGTGGGAGGATGCGTATAGGGTACACACTTTGGCGACACTACATGCAGAAACAGTGGTGCCTTGTCATCCAAGTGACCCAGTTTCTGTCATTTGGCCAATGTTTTTTTTTTTTTTTTTTTTTTTTTTTTTTTTGTGGGTGTCAGATTGCAAAGAGCCATGGCGGCCCCAACGCTCAGAAGCAGGTGGGCTACCTGTGGGCCCGCAGCCTGGGCGGGGAGGCGGCGGTCAAACTGCTCATCAAGTTTGGCCTGCTGGAGTACGGCATCGAGTCGGCGTCAAACAGCTTGTGAGCGCCATGCCGACATGTGCGGCAAGACCGCACTCGCGGACTCGTTACGTAAAAAAAAAAAAAAAACTACACAGAAAAAAAATAATGGGTTTCTGTTTTGTTCTCGTAGTTTATTCGACTTTGCCTTCGAACTGGCTCGTCTTTCCAGCAAGGAGAAGATACCCGAGATCCACCTAAAGCACGCCATGTACCTGGAAGATGAGGTACACGTGAAGCTACGACATTAAATCTCTGTCCTGCTACTCCTAAAGGCTCCCCTTTTGCTTCTCCAGCGCAAGTTTGCTGAGGCTGAGCAAGAGTTCATTAAAGCGGGAAAGCCCAAAGAAGCTGTGCACATGTACGTACGAGCAGATCCTGTTTAGCCACCTGAATGACATGGCAAAGCAGACATAAGAAAACTTTTTGGAATAAAATTCCGCCTATCAAATTTGGCATATGAAGGCTATAAGAAAAAAGTGAGCGACTTTCTATAACTTTCCAGGTACGCGCACAACAAAGATTGGATCAACGCGCAGCGCGTGGCCGAGAGCCACGATCCAGAGAGCATCCCGGAAGTTCTGGTGGGACACGCCAAGTTGTGTTTTGAACAGAAAGACTACCAGAAGGCCGAAGCCCTCCTGCTCCGAGCTGAGAGATCCGACCTGGCTGTCAAATACTACAAGGTGGAATTGACTCAACTTTTCCTTTTTTTTTTTTTTTTTTGGTGCACAAATGTGTGTGTGGATGTAATTGAATCCAGTTTAGACTATCGAGTTACATATTGTCATATTTGCTAGGCAGAGACGCCCTACTGTGTGGGCGGGGCATAAAGTAGCACCCATTTTGGACACATCAGACCTTCATCCACATCCAACAGAAAAAAAAAGCATCCATTAAATAGTTTCAACTGAGAATATGGAGTCTGATGCTAGTTGCTATTAGCGTAGCGGACATAAAAGGGACTCCCAGAGGCTTTCAGTTGGTGCCATGACCCAGAATCGAAAGTCCGAGCGGCGTTGACGCGTTCCTGTTGTGTTTGCTCAGGACGCGGACATGTGGAGCGACGCCATGCGCATCTGCAAGGAGTACTTGCCCAACAAGCTCTCCTTTCTTCAGGAGGAGTACGAGAAAGAGGCCACCAAGAAGGGAATGAGGTGAGGGCCTCCTCCCACAAACCTCGGGAGAAATAGTCAACCTCTGCCTATTCACCAATCACCATTCACACCCCCTTGCCAGTTTTTCGATTCGCTGAAAAACACAGTATCGGCACGTATCCACGTTTTTTTTTTTTTTTTTTTTTCCTCCTGTACCACGCAAATATGGTGTTCAAAATGGCGCTTTTGGTCGCATTGGGCATACAGCCAGCTAGCGTAGCCAGCTAGCTTAGCCAGCTAGTGTAGCCAGCTAGCGTAGCCAGCTAGCGTCACACAAAATCGCGAGCTGCTCAATGTAACATCGAGTAAGTGCCCAACGAAAGATAAATAAGCCATTTGCTATACGTGTAAGGACTTCGCCATGTCTTCTGCCACTGCCACTCTCCACCAATTCGGATGGTGACGCGCATTATCGTAAACGTAGTCACAGTTCCTCCGCTGACCCCCCACTCCGGTTGCCATGGAGCAAAAACATCTGCTCTTATTCACCGAGGGTTCATCCGATCATCAACCCCCAGCGTCTAATGACGCCGAGAGACGTTGGCTTGAAAAGAATTTGAGTCTCCGGGGGTGACAAGAAGGAACGAGCATCAGTATCCCGCGCGCACAAAGCCGCAGATCCGCAGCTCAGCCCAACTGGCGATAACTTGGCCGCTCGCCCCCCCCCCTTGACGACGGGTGGGAGAAAACATCAAACGTTACCCATGGAAACCGTGGAGGAAGACGGCAGTTTTTTTTTTTTTTTATTTGAAGCAAGACAACACTGAATTATTCAACTCCGGCTTCCGCTTGCCGATTTTGGTTTCTCTGGCATGCGGCGCATTCCGCCTTCTTAAAAGGAACAAAGAGGTCATCTGAAGGATGAACAATGCCAATTTATTAATTTTTTTCTACATTCGCGTCTCAGTTTCAGTCAAAAAAAAAAAAATGGAAACTGATGTGAACTCATGTTTGAGCATTTACATCGGGGGGTGCCCACAGACTGGTCCCAAGTCGATCGCGGAGGTTTTAATGGGGATTGGTCTGTCTATGTTATTAATATTGGATATTTTTGTGCGTCTTATGCCTCCGCGTCAGCTCTCCCACGAAAGTAGGCAGTGATTTCCTTTTCACAAACTCCCAAACTCTTGTATCTACTTTATTTTTCTCTTCCGTTCACGTTAGGGGCCGTTATGGTTTTTGCTCATCATGGCTTGCATGCTAGCTTGGCCGACGTGAGCGCAGATGCAAATCAAACTTGACACCAAGTGGACTGTTAACCATGCCATTGATGTGTTTTGCGTCCGTCCGTCCAGAGGTGTTCAGGGTCTACTGGAACAGGCTCGGGAGTGGGAGCAGTCGGGCGAATATTCCCGGGCGGTGGAATGTTACCTGAAAGTGAAGGACGACCCCAACGCCGCACTGATGGAGAAGTGCTGGATCAAGGTAACAGCAAAAATCGACGACAAAAAATGTTTGCATGTGGACAAAATGGAAGAATAAAAAAATTCTGGAGCTTTTTTTTGTTTCATTTTGGGGGTTTTTTTCCTGCCGCGCAGCCTGAAAAGTCTTTTTGACTCCCATCGACGAGGTTGAAATGTGACTGACTGATCTGTTGTCATGTTTAGTAAAGCAAATGTGAATGTTGTATGTGTTTGAGCTTGTCATGCATTTGAGCCTTTTGTTGTGCGGCCCAGGCCGCCGAGCTGTCAATCAAGTTCCTGGGTGAGGAGCGAGCCGTGAAGGTGGTTCAGGTGGTTGGACCTCGCCTGGCCCAGCTCCGGAAGTACAACACTGTGGGTCCTCCTCGCACACCCACACACGCACACTTTGAACGTTTTTTTTCTTTTATTATTATTATTTTTTTAAATAATATGTCCCCACGTCACAATGCAGGCCGCCGAGCAGTACTTACACGTGGGCCAGATCAAGGACGCCATCGATGTCCTCATGGAGGGCGAGGAGTGGAGCAAAGCCAAGAGGGTGGCCAAGGAGCTGGAGCCCAGGTATGACCCACATATTTTCTCACTTCCATACCCTCTGTCGATCTCACACACACACACACACACACACACACACACACACACACACACACACACACACGTCTTCTCTCAATCTCCCACAGGTACGAGAGCTACGTGGACCAAAAATACAAGGAACACCTGAAGAACCAGGGCAAAGTTGACTCCGTAAGTACGCTCCGCTCCGTGTTCTGTTGGGACGTGTTGCTCCTCCGTGTGTGTTAACCCTTTCAGGGACAGCGGTTACTCCGGTGGACAGCTTATCAGGTTATCAGGTTACAGGGTGCATGAAAGGGTTAAAAGTAGGAGTTGTTTTAAGGTTCAATGTATTTTGGGTGAGGGGTGAAACTGTGGCGGCCCGGTGGGCGAGTGGTTAGCGCATCGACCTTACAGTGCAGAGGTCGTGGGTTCGATCCCGGCTCCGATAGGATAAAGCGGATTAGAAAATGGATGGATGGATGAATGGATAGAACAAAAAACAAGAATAAGCTTTACAAAGTAAATAACTAGTGTTTTTTTTTTTTTTTTTTTTTCCCCCATTCAGCTGGTGGGCGTGGACGTCATGGCTGCTCTGGACATGTACGCCGAGAGAGGCCAGTGGGACAAATGTCTGGACACGGCATCCAAGCAGGTGAATCAAGGATTGCCGATGTGGCAAGTGGCTCGTCCGCGGGAGTAACCCAACTTCCCGTTTATTTCAGAACTTTAAGATCCTCCACAAGTACGTGGCCTTGTACGCCACGCATCTCATCAAGGAGGGCTGCGCTCCGAAGGCGCTGCAGCTCTACGTGCAACACGGAGCGCCGCCTAACCCGCAGGTTAAAAAAAGAATAAGCCGGATCGTGAGAGAGACGTACCTATTGTGCGAGTCGCTTCATTCGTTCACCCGTTCGCCACGTTGTCTTCTCCGCAGAACTTCAACATCTACAAGCGGCTGTTCCTCGACATGCTCCACCTTCCCGAGGCTCCGGATTCGTACCGCACGTGGGCCGACCTCCGCGACGTTCTGCTGCAGCTGGTAGCAGCCGAGCGAGTCACCAGTTGTCATCGTCTTGAGAAATCAATCCAAGCGTCCCACATCTTTTCTTTTCAGTGTGAGAACTTGTCCAAGTCGGCAGGTGAGAGCTCTGCGGCCCACGAGGACTTTGAGCGGATGCTGCTGATCTCGCACTACTACGCCAGCAGAGCCGCTGTCGCTGGGTTGGAGGAGCTGGTACGTGAAACAATTTTTTTTGAAAAAAAACTCAAGAATTTGGGCGATGATGCTGGTAAGAGTTAGATTTCCCGAAAATTAAACAAAAAACAAAATTGGTCAATGAATATGTATTGTTTTTGGTTCTCAAAGTGTATTTTATTTTTGTGTTTAAATCAAATAAAATACACCCAAAAAAAATTTTTGTGTTTAAAAAAAAAAAAAGTTAAATCTGGCTGTAAAATGTTTTCTTGTGAATGAAATATAAAAACGTGTCATGTCAATTTTAATAAAGTAAAAAAAAAAAAAAATGCTTGAAATTTTTGAAAATTTAATTATTAATGAGCCAATTATTTTACACAAAAATGTTCAATGTTGGTGTTTTTTTATTGTTGAATGATTTATTTCATTTTACACTTATTTTATGACATAAATCGAAAAAATGAATACTAAAAAAAACAAACTGGCTAAATTAATCCACCAAATATGACAGGACTCATGATAGCAAATGCCAGTACTTGCCTACCTCCGCACCACTCATCTTTTTACGGCATCAGCACAAAATTGAGATGTCAGATATCGTCTTTCTTGATCTCTATTAGTCACATGAGAAACAAAAAGGAGGGGGAAAAAAAGTAAAGGTTGTTGTTTGCAGACGAGCATCTCGGCCAAGCTATCCGTGTCCCTGCTACGTCACACCGACCTGGTCCCTGCAGACCGAGCTTTCTACGAGGCCGGCCTGGCCTGCAGGGTGAGTGTGTCCTTACATTTCTCTCAAAGGTTTCTTCCCCGCTTACACGTTTTGCTCTTTGTACCTTTCAGGCGGCCGGCTGGGAAAACATGGCCTTCATCTTTCTCAACCACTTCCTGGACGTGTGTGACGTGAGGCTCCTCTCATAAACGTTGCGAAACATTTGCTCAAACAAAAATTTTGAATCTGTACAATTAGCAGCAATTTGGCAGAGCTTGAACAACTTTAAAAGAAAAAAAAAAGGCTCTGGGTTGTTTACCGCAACCTCCAGTTGGAGTTGACTGTCAAACTAAACATCAAATAAGGTGAATTACACTTTTGTGTATTTAAAACGACCAAACAACTTTGCCTTTGGAATGCCCCCCCCCCCTTGCTTAATCAGCCAAGCCCACCCAGCAGTAAACACAAGCGAACCGCTGTTCTGTATGCAATATCAAACTCTTATTTACATGGACTGCTTTGTGCCAGGCCATCACCGATGGGACGCTGGACTCCCTTGATCACTCGGATTTCACCGACACCGACATCCCCTTTGAAGTTCCCCTTCCTCCCAAGCCTTGTGTTCCTGTAAGGACCACACCACCCCGACACACTCATGCCCCTCTCCCACCCGTCCCCCACTTCTAAAGCGCGTGTGTGTGTTTACAGGACCCGCAGCGGGAGGAGATCCGCAACTGGGTCCTGACGGTGGCCGTGTACGGTCGCCTGGAGCAGGTCCTGCCACGAGACGAGAGGAACTCGTACGAAGCATCGCTGGTGGACTCCAACAGCGGTCTTCGCTCGCTGCCTTGCGTTCTGACTGGTAACACACACCAAACGCACAAACGATCATCCATCGGCTCCCAAGTCGTCAACTCTTCAAAATGTCTTCCCACCTCCAGGCTATCCCGTTTTAAGAAACAAAATGGAGTTCTCGTCGGCGGGAAAAGCTGCCAACAAAGAAGACTGGAATCGATTCCTCATGACCACCAAGGTGAGCGAAGGACAAATGAGCAACGCGGACGTTTTCGAACGGCACGAAGCGTGTGTTTAAAATGATTGTGAGCCTTTGTGAACGTTTTAGGCGTTGCCATTCATTTCAAATCATGCTTTTTTTTTTTTTTAATTAAGACTAGTCATAGTCCGGAGTGTCAGGACGTCCTCAAGTTCATCAGCCAATGGTGCGGCGGCCTGCCTGCGGCCGGATTCTCCTTCCACTGACACCTTCGGAAGGTTCTCAACGATTCTATTTACAGTTTTTTTTTTTTTTTTTAGTTGCAAGTCTCAGAATGCAGTTTTTTGTTGTCTGACTAACTTCCATTGTATTTTTTTTTTCTTCACAGGATTCTTAGCCTGGAATAGCAGCAACCTCATTTCATTCCCGGTAATTCTAAAATAGGACTTCAGCTCCAACACAAGAGTTATTTATTCTTAATATTACTCACGATTGTTTTTTTGTAGGTTGTGTTTTTTGAGGGGATCAAGTTTCCAATATAAATGATCTCCAATCTATTTTGTTTGCCCCCGAGTCTGTTCACTTTTGAATGAACCCGAACGTAGTGATGGTTCAATGAAACTTTCATCTTGACGCTGCTCTTGTGACGATCGTCGATTTTTTTCCTTGTGCGTGCATTCATAACGCAACGGTGACTGCTTGAATGTTAAATCCTCAAGGGTATAACTCTGACATGATGTTCTTAACCTTCAGAATATGCTTCTAGGTGAAACCAATTCGCCAAAAAGTCCTCAAAAGGTCCAAGTCCTCGCTAATGTCGCTTTTAACGATGTTGCTGTGAATAGATTCTGGATGTTTTTTTTTTTTGTTTGTTTTTTTAATCGACTTACATCCGACTTTTAAGTTTTGCTTTCTTCTGAATCGCCCCATCCGGTCGCTAGGAAACACATTCCTCCGTCTCTCAGGAGAAGGGCTCGTCCTTTCTTGCTAGCGAATGCATCATCACCTTTTTTTTTTCTTTTCAAAAGTTGGATGAAAAGTCCAACATGCTTTGATGTCTTTGCTCCTTGTGGCGCACAGAAAAAAAAAACAGAGTCGCTGGCTGTTTACGTATCAGGGGTCTTTTTATTTGGTCAAACAAATACAATAAATCATAAGCATCGCCCTCGCCCCCACATTGAATTGAAAAGAGGCAATTTGCGCACCAAACAAATTCAGAACTTGAACTGAATGTATTAGCATTTTGCTTTGAACACAAAATTAATAACCTAGGCTTACACATACACATGGCATTTTTTTTCTAATTAAAAAAAAAACATAATGACTCAAATTTTGTTTTCTATTATGAGGAAACAGTTTTGGATGAAGGAGTTTTTGAAGCAAATACTTTTTTCGCGACACACTGAAGCGAGCGAACCAATTAGACTCGAATTGTTAAGTTCCCAACGTGACCACTGGAGGCACTGCTGAGCTGGTTGCATGTCGCATTAAAAGTGAACACAAAGAAATGCATTTATTACGTTTTTACAATTTACAAACCCAAACAAACAAATTGTAAAACTATAGTAGGGATTTTAAAAAAAATTGTATTTTTTTTTCTTCACACGGCACACGAAATGTTAATCTTGTGATACTTCTTGCAATATTTTTGCCTTCCAGCCCTGAAAAAAAATTATGAAATGTAGTTTTTCCTTTATTTTGTATTCAAACATTAAAGGACATTAAAAAATTAAACATACTATACATAGAATGCTTTTATTCTATATTTATGTATTGGATTATTAAAAACGGCAATACATTTTGTTAATGTCGGCTACACGTATAAACTATTTTTTTTTCCCCCAAGACATATTTCTGACCGTATCGATGCATGTTTGTCCTTTTGAAAATTTTAATGTCACTTTTTGTGCTCAAAAGGTTGTACACCCGTGAAGACCAACATTGTATTGTGAGCTCCAAATGAGTAAAACGGTGCAAATGGGCTGCCCTCCATTTTGGTGTGAGTAAGATCGTGCCCATTGAGGGGAAAAAAAAATGGAGACCATAAACACAACCTGACAAAAGGTTCAATTTCGACTGGTTAGATCCTAAATTATTTTCAAATTATGAGTCAAAAGCTTTACTTGCTGAATTGAGCTCATCCGCTCGGTTACATTACATACATGTCACATGTACTCAATGTCTTTTTTTTTTTTTTTTTTTTTGGTGTGTGTGTATATGAAATGCTACGAATGTGCTTGCTGTTGTCGTTATTAGGCCTCTCTCTTGGCATTCACCGCGTGCCTTAATTGTATGGACATTTAAATCAAGGTCCGCTGTGAACACGACGAGAGACGACCCACTTTTCACGTGACTGCCGACTGCATCGGCTGGCCTACTTTTCCTGCAGCCCTCCCCCCACCACCACCACCAACATTGTACACGCTTCAATTCCAGCGCATCCCTCCCGTGTCATCCTTGCATTCACCTCCATCACCTTCACTTTTGACCTTGTGACTGCCGCGCCATACTGTTCAGTGTTTCCACAAAGCACCCGCACAAGTCAAATGTTTTAACGCGGTCCATTCTCATTTCAGTCTCGAAATCCCGTCCTTTCATGTCAATGGCAACAAGAGTCGCGAGAGCCCCCGCGGGTGTAAAATTAACATCTTTCGACCCCGGATTTGGCATTCGATGCACCGCCGAGCACAAACGCTGCAGGTTTTTGTGTACAGGCGTCTAGGTGAAAAGCAGCGGAATGGCCCTTTAGGCAGCACTTTGGCCCATTAAAACCTTCAGCCTCCATTATCCAGTAGCCATAATGCACCTGCTTATAGAGCGCTGCATTAATGGCTGGGCTGCAGGGGTGGTGATGGAAGGGAGGTGGTGTGTGTGGGGGGGGGGGTGGAAACGATGATGCTGATGCTGGGACTTGACATCATCAACCCCCGCCCACCTCCGCCCCCCCCCCCCCCCAAAAAAAAAACGGACTTCCTGCAGCATTTTTGTAGCAAATGAAGCTGCAGTATCACATGCTAATGACCCAGATAGCGTGCAGCGGCTTCAATTGCACAAGGGGGAGGAAGGGAGCGCGCGGGGGGGTGACGGGGTGCTTTCCTGCCTTTTGTGGGGGTCGTGCATAAACCTGACAACCACGGAAATCAATCCGATTGTAACAGAATCACAAATAGCAGGTCCGGATTTGGCGATGAAATGATATTAAATGGCCCTTCAATGTAATTCAGTAGCTCGCGTGTCTTTTGGACGAGGGCGTATGCGCAGTCTCGTACAAATTGCGCATGCACAGCACAACCCCACATTGCGTCTTTTTTTTATTATTCGTAAGGCGCAGCTCTAAAATTAAGGTTTAAGAAAGACAAACATTGAAATATGGTTGCATCATCATCAACATCAAGTACAATGGAAACAATACCTTTGGATTTTTTTCCCCCGTTTTTTGTCTTTTTTTTTTTTTTTTTTTTAATTACAAAAAAGTCGAGCACACGTGCATACTGGAAGCAGTGGAGCGCAGTGAAATGCGACGAAACAAAGACAATAAATTCATACAATTTCATGAAACAAGAGAATTGATGTTGTAAAAGTATGCCAGTGATTCTGAGAGTGTTTAGGGGTCAGAAGAAAAGACCTCGCTGGCCTGGATAACTAACTATGTCGTTTCATCGACGCCAATTTTCACACACAGAAATGAAAGAGTTGACTGTTGAACCCTTTTGAAATCTGTTGCTCACCAAAACAGCAAGAGCAAGGCAAATAAAGGAAATTAATACTCTCCACAGTATTAAAGATGAGATGATTCGGTGGATATTTGACCTTTAACAACAGTAGCGTTCTGTCGACTTTGTACAATGTAGTGGACATCCACATCGCTGTGCCAGGGGGAGATACAGGAAATATTTGTTCAGGCTGCCTTTGCTCTTGCCATTTTACTCCATTTCTTCCATGAGTCATTTTTATTTTTAAAAATTTGACCTCTACTGAACGTTATTGTCATGTTACCGGAATGTTGTTTGAGGTGATCAAACAAGTGCGGCCTCCGTCTAAATAGGCAGCTGTCCGCCATCTGCAGTTGAGTAAATAAATTCCCTCCTTCCACTTTTTTTCTGAAATATGGTCTATATAAAAGAGCGACCAGCTAAAAATATGATGCAGCAACTACTAGTGAACTCATTTTGTATAGATCATCCACTGGCAACTAATTACATTTTAGTGCAGAGCGAGGACGTTTTCCTAAACAAGGCGACTTTACAGTCATTTCCCAGTTTAATAATGCATGACGCTTCAAGAGAAAATGCTTGGATATGCACGATGTGGATCAAGCATACAATTTAGTGTTGATCCAGTTTAATTCCGTGCTTAAATGCTACGGGTTTAAAAGCAACATCGGGCTTTTGATCGCGTTGTTCTGATCTCACCTCTGCTGCATGTCCAGCGGTTCTTTGTGCTTCCTGCTGGGCTCCACCGGCGACTGAGAGTTGATGCCGCGCGCCGGAGTAGCGGCCTCACTCAGCTGCTCTTTGCCTCCTTCTGAGTCCGTGCTGCCTCGTTCTGTCTTCCTCCACTTGGCCCGCCGGTTTTGAAACCAAACCTGCAGTGACACAATCAATGACTTTCTGATCACGTAAAGACTTAAAACGACTGTTACTGTACAACGCGTCCACAGGGGTGGGTAACCTCTGACCTGTGGATCCGATTAGACCACAGCAGTTTTTGATCCAACACACCAAGAATTTTTTTTTTTAATGAATTATTCAGTCACTGCCTAACAGTTACAACACGACCAGAAAACATATTGCTTACAATATATGCTATGCGGGTTTTGAATTAAAGTACGTTGTAAATATAGTATATATATGTGTATGTCAAATAAGTAGTCTGTCACATATACATAATGTTATACGCCAAATTTGAGAAATATAGTTGAATATGTGAGTAGGTATGTCCAATACAGGCAGTTTAGTCTGGTATCTGAGTAAGTCATATCAAAGCTATTTAGTCCATTGTAAAAAATGGGTCAAGTGTAGGCAATATGGTGTAGCGTATGTTAAATATAAATAATACTGTGGATGGTACAAGTATGTCAAATATCAGTGTGATAGTGTACTAATTGGTCAAGATCAACATACAGAAAAAAATAAACATTTTTTGGCTCACGTTAGCATCTAATGGGCACATGGTGGACGTTCACCGAGCAACATGATTCAGTTAGCAAGATGGATGTGCACTGTGTGACACCTTTGGATTTTTTTCCCCCGTTTTTTGTCTTTTTTTTTTTTTTTTTTAATTACCGCATGGATGCCTTTTGAAAGCGATGGGAGTGGAGGCCGTTGCTGGTTAGTCTTGTGTCCGACGATCGAGCGCTTCAACCCGATCCTTGGAGCCCTGCGCAGGATGGGAGGTGGGAGGGATGAGGATGCTGAGAGGGGGGCAAGGATGTGGACGTCGGACCTGCGCATCCTTTAGTTGTTGTTGTTCTCGAATCCCTAACTGAGTCCAGGGAAGCTCCCGAGGCATTCCAACGAGAATAGTAGATCCTAACATGTTTTTAGGGGCGCGTGAGGCTGCAGCAGGATGAGGATGAAGGATGACGATGAGGAGCTGGGCGCAGTCAGATGGAGAGAGGGTGGGGAGGGGTGGTCCTCTGTTACATCCTCAGCCTCCAGCTCTGCACCCTCCTCCCCCTTTGCATCCTCCTCTCTGTACCAGCTCAATGAGGGCCCAGTCTATCGTATGTGTGTGTGTGTTTTTTTTTTTTTTAACATGAGCAAGTCAAATAGGAGCTAAATAGTCATGGAAACACACGTGTGATCCCAAAATATGACACAGTAAAATATTCACTGGGCTTTCAGAGCTACTGATGTGAGGAAAGCGATGGCAAAAAAAAGGGAATCTGTGTATTGTTTTTGCTATTGAGTGGAGGACTTAAGGTGTGTAGAGATATGAGACTGCAATTTGGTTTCACTGCACCGCACATCCCCCCGCCGGCATCGTCGTTTTAGTCACTCAAACGTGAATTAAAAAGGACAAGCAGTGGTCCACATGGTCTCGTCTTGCATCCCCCCTGTTCATTCCTCCCCCACTCAAGCCTGCAGACTGGCTGATGGGAGGCGGACTGCGCCACTGCAGCCACACTCGGCATGAATGTCATGATCATTCAGGAGACACCTTTACTTTGTGTCGTTCCGAACAACACAGGAGACTCAATTCCACGAAATGTCCCGAATTCATCCACTGGCCACTTTATTAGGGACAGCCTCCCAAGCCAATCCGTAATTATTCTTCACGTCAAAAAATGATTATGTTTGAAGAGGTAATTTTAGAATGTGTTTATGGCTGCTTGAAGCTGGCGTCGGAGTTTACTGCACTGCAGAGTACGACCACATTAGACTATTAAAGCCGAACTCCATTGGGAATTTTTTCACGACACTGTCGTTTGAACAAAATATTCGCGTGTACCATTACAATTCAACTCTATTATGATGGTATAGTTCACTGTGAATAAGTCGGCCTGTAAACGGGATATTTTGAAAATTACTTGAACAGTCGTTAAGTCTAAAACTAAGTTAACAGGGCTGTACGTATTATGTTATTATGATGCGGCAAAAGCAGCACAGACATCAATAATTCATACTGGGAAGGCATTTAATATTTATTATAATTGAAGTACGACATTTTATAGTTTGTCGTGTGTGTTGTTAATCCAAGTGAAGTAACGCGTGTCGTTGCACAAGCGTGACTTGGGTAACGCGTTGGATGTTGCGTAGCTACGCTAACCGCGTTATCGGTTAACAGGGCTGTCGAGTCCAATGGTCTCCTCCTCTGCCTATAGGCTAAGTGTTATTTGGCGACATTTTGTCAACAGTCGGATGGGAGACATGGCTTCCAAGACTCAGATGCCAAGCCCGGATAGAGCGCTACCCGGCCGGACTGAAGCTATCAAAGTGGCCGGTAAGTCACCACTGCCTTAGCTTTAGCATGTTCAGTTTCGGAATGACGGCAAGTATTTCGCTCACTACAGTATCGCGAAGAACGATTACAATGATTTGTCGACGCGGATATAGTTGACGGACCATTTAAAGCCCCAAACAACAGTCTTGATAATGTCTAAATTATTGAAAAAACTGTTTTTAAAGTTTAAATCTCGACAGACATGCTGCGCATGCGCAAATTATTCGCTTCGGTGTAAACAGTAACAACGCTTGACGGCGAGAATTGGATTTACAATGTAAATGACTTTTTGTTTGCGTTGTTGTGTTTTGTTTAAATGTTTTTTTAAATACATTACCGTGGTGCTTGAGCCACTATTTATAGGAAACATGCATATCCCCGTCCGTCTGAAACATGTCAGTGGCATGCTTTCGTCCAAATTCACCCATGGATCAAAAATTATGACACATTTTTTTCATCCTACTTCTTGCCATGATGAAATTTTATAGACGTAAATGTCCAATACAAGTTGCAGGCCGCCATCCTGCCCCATGTACAACAACAGCAAATCTTAACTCTAAGCCTAGAATGAGAACCGGTGTACTGAGAGAATTGGCAGTAAACCAGGCCAAAATCTGGGTGCCAGGGTGAGGCAGGGTGAGAGACTTGTTGTATACTGTACTCGGTTTGGTTTAACCAAAGAGTGTAGAAGCAAGTCTACTTCTTTTATTTAAGGTGCCACCAGTGGCTGGTCGATGCAGCATTTCATCACCAAGCCACCGAAATTCCACTTCATGCATTAATTACTGACCAGGCCAAACACGGCTATATCACCCATTCCCACGTCAACATAAGACAACTTTAATAGAAAATAATGAGAAGATAATGCTAGAAACACTGTTAACTTATGATCATCTTGGCTAACACAGACAGAAAAATAATCAACTGCATTCAACATCACGACACATTCATCGTATTGGCAAAGTGTTGTCAAAATGTCACCTGACAAGCCGACACGTTGCGGACTGTCATCCCGTTCATCCATCTGCTTGTACAGGATATGTACTCTTTATTTTTAGTATTTGGGATGGAAGTGTGTGTGCATGTGTGTAGGAAACAACAAGACTGCTGTCAGCTTTAATCTGGCAGCCGCTCCTGTTGGCACCGCGGCGCGCTCCTCTTCAGTACGAGTGGGGCTACTAAGTGTTGGCGTGCCATGAATAGATGTGCACTGGCATCACAGCCGGAACAGAAGAGCATCCATTTATCTGCTTTTGCCTTTCACACAGAACCCAGCCATGGCAGGAATATCGCTTCAATTGGCTGCGCTTTCACAGAGCAACGCAGCATCTTGCAGTCGGATTAGCTCATCACCATTTAGGGGAAGAGGGGAGGGGGGAGAAGCGGAAGTAAAACAGGCTAAAGTCCAGCGTCCCCTGTTGTCTCGCAGTGTATGGCGGCCTTAGAACAACCTAAAATGTTTAAAAATGGATATAAGTCGATTGGGGTGTAACTACTGTACTGCTCAATGCTGATTGGCCGATTCTGACACACATACGTAAGCCCGAATGGAACTAGAGCAGCACTAATACGTAGTGTGTGTGCATGCGTGTCATAAAGCATCTTATGTGGTGAACACACATGTAGACACATGTACATTAATGTTGATACTCATAACAGTGACCATTATTTCTAATGCACACATTATTTTTTTTGCGGTTGGTATTTTCCTCAGTAAATATGAGCAACAAAAAAAACAACAACTGGATATTATATTTGAATCACATATTTTTAGAATGAAAAATTAAAATACATATATAAAAAAAAATCATAAAATGAATGAGAATGAAAATGAAAAAAATGAATACGGCGAAAAATAAATGCGAAATTTCTGCAAAACTAATACAATATGTGTAAAACTGGATGTGTCTGTTTTGTCTTCACGTGTTCTTCTCCAGCCAAACACGACGTCAACGGCAACAGAACCACGCCGCCGTTCCCCGAAGACACGCAGACAGTCGTTTTCGGTGAGTAGCGTCGATCGCAAAATCTTCCAACCAGACGTAAACGTTATCTCACAATGGTATATTCAAAATGGAGGTTTTTTTGTTTCGTTTTTTTTTTTTTTTTCGAACTACTATTTCTGTATTGCAGTAAAAAAATCATCAAACCCTCAGAGATTTCCAGCAACATGACTTATCGTCTGTGTGTGTGTGTGTGTGTGTGTGTGTGTGTGTGTGTG